TGGCATGTGGTGCTGGGGGATTGAACCGCGGTCCCTGTGCTTTGCTAAGCTTGTTCTAAGTAGGTGCTTTAGACCACTGAGCCATCTCACCAGCCCATGGAGACAGTCTTGATCCACATTGATTTAAGCTGGCAGTTACTTTTTGGTGGGGTAATGGATAATCTCAGAGAACCTACAGCTTCCTGCGCAGACCAGACTCAGGCTGCAGCTATCGGTGCACCTTGCCCAGGCCTGTACTCAGGGGAAGCCCCTGGATGGGATCCAGCATCTGCTCAGAGTTCCGAGTTCAGCAGTCTCTTCTCCGAGATGGCTTCTGGCTCATCACTCTCTTGCACCGAACTACTGAACCCCAAGCACTTACCCACAGCTAGTGCAGTCCTTCATGTCCACTGTTCCCCTCCAGTGCTGTGTCTCTCTGTGAAGGCCTCTGGGGTTGCCAGCAGTCACCAGGTATGCGGAAACGCTCCTTGTGGGAGGCATGCAGCCTGTCTATTCTCAGGTTGAAGGTGCCGCAGGTTATCTCCTTTGTTGAAGTTTCTTCACTCTCCCGGAGGGCTTCTATTTTCACTTCCGACCCTTCCTGGGCCAGGCATTTAATTCCCGCTTTCTTGTCTTCCTCACATTGCTGTATTCCAGTATCTAGACAGTGACTCTCCAAGAAGCTCTTTCTCTGCTGCTTATCACTCTGCCATCTTGGTGCTCTGGGCAGGAAGTTTTTGGATTTGGGATTTTTATCAAGTAAAGGTAGTTGAAACAGATTCAGGAGATATGTATTTCATGCAAGTCCTGTCACACAAGATAGAAGAGAAAAGCACACAATATACTTCTAGAGAAGTGGAGGGGCAGAAGTGGAGAGGCAGACCTCAGAAGAAAGTATGTTTCAGTTAAAGCAGGAAGGCAGAGGGAAAATGAGAGAAAAAGTTATGGCAAGCATTTTTATTATTATTATTATTATTATTTAGTACAGGTTCTACTGTGTTACGGGGTCTCACTACACAGATCAGACTTGTAGTGATTCTCCTGTTTTCAGCCTCCCAAGTGCTGGGATTATAGGTGCGCACCACCAGGCCCAGTCTCAATTGCTGTCTCAGTGCACCCTGGGGGCGGGGCTGGCATGGCAGGCCGGGGATCAAACTACTGACTCCTTCGCCGGCCTTAGCAGGTGCTTTAATCTGCTGAGCATCTGGCTGGTCCATGGCAAGCCATTTGCTGATTATGAAGAGGAAGTTCCTGAGCACTCAACAGAAGGCTTTGGATCAACTGGAAGGAGTGAGATGAACTGAGTCTGTCTGAGGAATGTACAGACTTGTTTGCATATTAGAATCTGGAAGATTAAAATTTGGGTAGTAGATAAAGAAATTTGGATAGTGAGTATGGTAAATAAATATGGACACTTCTTGGTCACTTTTTGTTCTGGTAGTTTTAATTTTTTCTTTTTTTTTCCGATATTGGGGATTGAACTCAGGACCTTGTGCTTGCCAGGCAAGCACTTATTCCACTGAGCTATCTCCCTGGTCCCCAAAATTTCTATGTCTCTATATAGTGAACTTTTTTCCATCCTCTAGTTCCTAGAGGCTAATCGTCTTTGTTCTGTAGCTAGCTTTGCATTTTCAGCATGTGACATGTACAGTACGTAGCTTTTTGAGTCATATCATTACTAGTACCAGTGGTTCCTTCTATTGCTTTGTATTCTTTTGGGGAGGGGATTGAGACAGAGTCTTGCCATGTACTTCAGCTGTACTTGAAGTCACTGTGTAGCCCGTGCTGGCCTCAAATTTGGGGTAATCCTCTTGCCTCAGTATGGGATTACAGATCTGAGTAAGCCCTCATGCCTACCCCTTGATATTATTTTATTTATTTATTTATTTATTTTTACCTCTATTTATTTATTTTTTGTGGTGCTGGGATCAAACTCCAGACCTTGTTCTTTTTTTAAAATTTTATTTATTTATTTATTT